ACCTCAGGTATCTACAGAATATGGCATTTAAGATGTTTATAATAGTAAAAGGCTTTTTGTGACAGTGAGACATGTCAGCTTCTGGCAGCCACCCCAATCTACTTCAGAGAGGATGATGGGCATCAAATAACCTCCAATATGGAGTTTTCAAATGTGACAAGCGAGCCACTGAGCAAAAATGTCCTTGCCTCAACTGCTGACAGCACGCTGTTCAAACTGTGGACAAGCAGGACACAGAGGAAGTCGACTGACCAACTTTGCAGAGTCAAGGTAGGACAGGCCTTCAAAAATTCCTGCTTTATAGATAAGTCTGTCAAATCTTCTGGGGTAGTGGGCCGAAGATGGATGCCCCAACACTGCGGAGAAAACTTGACTGGCTAGGCAGCCTCAGTCTCTGTCATTTATGTAACTTTGGAAGCTGCTTGCTCTGCATTTCCTGTTTACTTAGGTCTCCAATAGGGTTGGAGACTAGACAGTTATAGTCTCACATATAAGCTTAAGGCTTTTTAGGATTTAAGAAAATGTTTAAGGTCTAAGAAGATGTTTTTAGGTTGGGACATTATGAATGAATTCTTACCTGATAGTTCTCCTAATTGTTCTTATCGTATATAGTTTATTGATGTTAGAGAAAAAGTCTCTTATTGGACAAAAAGGGAGACATTGGGATAATCTTGTTTTTCACTGTGTAAAAGTTGTCTTTGTAACTTTTTAATGTTGATTTCTGTACCAGTGATGTGCTGGGTGCTGTCTGGACTTAGGTATGCATCACCTGTCTCCATGTTTCATAAGCCTTCATCTCCGTCACCTTCTGATTGGTTTACTACAGAGCTGGCAGCCTATACCAGGACAGGAGAGGAAAGGCGGGACATCCAGGCAGAGATAAGAACTCTAGGAAACAGCTGAGGCACAGGATTCATTGGCCAGACATGGAAGAAGTCAGAGGCCACATGGCAAATGTGATCTAGAATAAATGGGTTATTTAGTTATACAAACTAGTTGGGAACAAGACTAAGCTATAGTGTTGAAGCTTTAGTAAATAATAATTCTCTGTTGTTGTGATTTAGAAGCTGGCTGGTCGAGACAGTCCGGCATTCATCGGCTTTTCAGGTTAAAGTCCATGGGTCCTGGGGCACAATATGCCTCTGAGTTTCTGAGTGGTGGACCCAGTCCCTCAGGTAGTGAAGTGGTCAGGCTGCTTTGGTTTCTCTGCATGTTCCCTTAGTAGTCAAGGAAGCATGGAAGTGTGACAGGACAACTGGTCTTAGACACTAATCCTGTGAAGCCTGTATGGCCTGTGAACTTCACTGTATCCTGGCAACCACAACAGTATTGATCCTGGCAATTGCCAATATATTCTGTTTCTTATAAAGGTATAAAGATTCTGACTGCTCTCAATAAAATTACCACAGCCTCAGTTGTGCTATCTCCCCTCCAACCAGCCTGATTGCATGCCTTGAGGCTATTTCAGGGGACGCTGGTCTAGTAACTAAGCATTGGTGCTTACCCTGTGAAAGAGAGCACTGCTGTAAAGCCTTGTGGCATGAGCAGCCGCTGGATTCTAACACGATCCCTACATGTATACCAACCCAAACTGTTCACCACTGGGTCTAAGACAGTATAGTCTACTGTTTTCTAAGGTACCTCTCAAAATTTTTTGTCAAAGTGCAATCATCCCTAGGGTGATCACTGAAGGCCCGAATCATCTTTAATAAAAGTATGGCATTTAACAAGGTCGTTACAAGAATTAGGATTGTATAGAATGTGCATATAAGAAGGAAGAAAATTAGACTGTGGTGATCTTACAAGAACTGCAAGAAGATAGTTAAAAGTCAAGTCTGAGCTGGAGATATGGCTCTGCTGTTAAGATCACTTGTTTCTCTTGCAGAGAGACTGGGATTCCATTCCCAGCTACCACTTGGGTGACTCACAACCAGGGGATCCGATGCTTTTTCTGACCTCTGTGGACACCATACACAGATGTGATGCACATACATACACACAGTCAAAACATTCACACACATAAAATAAGTCTAAAAGAACTTTTTGAAAAGGTGATGCATGCTCAGTTTGCAACTTGAGCCCGGACTGGATACTTAGCTTCCTCCCAGTGAAGGCCAGAAATCTGTGCTTCCAGACAGGTAGAACACCAGAGAGGATGTTCTCTGTGGATCAATATCAAAGTCCAGATGGAAGGATGATTTTATCTTGTTTGCTCAAATTACTGTGGTGGAGTGGAAGCCACACCGACCTGTGAAGCGGCTGCAGCGAAGGGCTCGTGGAGCCCACATCTGTGTTCTACTCTATGACAACACTTTTAGGCAACCTCAGAACAGAAGGGCAACAAAGAGCGAAACAAGGATAAAAACGATTGGTACGAAACACTAAGCAATGGAAACCAGTAACACAAACCTAGGTACCATGAGAGCCAAGAAACGCAAAGACAAATACAGCAGAGTTCAGGAACCATGCTGACATAACACACATCCACGCAGATACAGAGAGCTGTGAGCAGTAACAAGGGGCTTCGGTGAGCCCATACCTGGTAGATAGCTAGAGCCCACAGTGATGCACAGTGCAAACCATATTCCCGTGGGATCTTCAGGAAAACGTGGAAATAAATATATTTTGTTTTCACAAACAAAAGCAGAAGTTATTATCCAGAGTTTGCTCTGGCGAGCGACTCATCTACTAAAAATGAGGACAGAGGTTTGAAGGCAGGTAGGGAAGTGAGAAAATTTTATAATGAAAATAAGGAAAGGCTTTGAGCAGGCTCTGATTGGATCCTCATACGGAAACACTAGGGTTGGCTCATAGCTGTGTACCCCATGTTGGGCAGCATACCTGGCCTCTTCTGATGGACCTATGTTGAATCCAGGACAAAGATCAACTGACCTACTGTACCAAGTCGTAGCATCTGCACCACTTGCTGCCAAGGTTTGGCACTCTGGACTGCTTGCTGTAAGAACACAGCCTGGCTTCCTGAGCTGACTGCAGCAGAAAGATTCTTCCGGTTATATCAGGTTTTGTATATTCTTTTACTGTGAGATTTTAGCAGTTTTTAAATATTGAAAGTGATGGGGCTGAATTGATGATTCGGAAGTTAAGAGCACTGACTACCATTCCTGGGGACCTGGGTTTGGTTCCCAGCACCCACACGGCAGCTCATTGCTGTCTAGAATTCCACTCTTAGGGGTTCAGGTACCAGCAAAGCACATGATTCACATTCATACATGCAGGCAAAACATCAAAATGCAGAAAAGTGAATTAATAAAAATTTAAGCAACTACTTACAAGGATACACTTTCATAGCTACTGAGCTGGAACTTGTACAATAATATTCATAGAATATTTGTCCATAAACCTTTCAGTTTTAAAATATACTGTTAAGTGCATCCTTCTCTCTTATCCTTATGACAGCTTGTGATTCTGAGACGATGATTAGCTTAACTCACATGGTGGATTAAGGCTAGATTCAAGATTAGTCCTATGTCTTCTATAACTCCATTTTCTCGTATACAGGCCACCTATATTGATTTCAAATAAATCCTTTTTATTCAATACTAATTCAATACAATGATCAAAAGATCTTTTCAGTTGCAGCTGTTCATATAGCTGTTCTCTGATGATCAACCTCAAATTCCAGACAGAAGAATGATTTTTGTCTGGTTTCTCCAAAGGGATGTGCAGAGTGAAGAAGCACCAACCTCTAATGGCAGCTCAGGCGAAGGGCTTGTGGAGCCCATGTCTATGCCTACTCTGATAAAACAAAAAATATACGTTTCCAATCGCATCTAATCGTATAACTGTTCTCGGTGGATCAATGTCAAATTCCAGATGGGTAAAACCTTGAAGGATCCTACGAAAGGTCGTAGATACATACCGACAAAGCCACCGTGTGGAAGAATTAGCTTCATTCCTGTGGCTCTCGAGGGCAAAACTAGTGCAAGCGAGTGGGGGGGGGGGGGTAGGCAAATTCCAGCCGGGAGTATGAATTATCTTTCTAATAAGGAGATGCTAGACCGCAAAAGAACACGCGGCCCCGTGAAGGAGCTGATCCCCAGATCTCATAAAGTTTGCGACAGACTTTCTAACTCAAAGCCTACTCCAACTGGTTTACTGCAGCAAGCCTCAAAGGCCTTCAGAAATTTCAGGTTTATTAATTTTCACTAAACCTTGGGGAAATTGCATAAATATTCTCAACATTACACTTTAAGATCATCCCAATTCCGGCTCATAACATTGTATTATGTTTCCCCCCCAAAAACCCTCAGGCTTAGCAGATGGGGTAGCAGCCATTTGTAATCACAGCTCTTGGAAGATTGAGGGAGAAAGATTCCGAGCTCAAGGTCAGTCTGGATTATATAGGAAGACCCTACCTCAATAAACCAATTAAAATGAACAACAACAACAACAACAACAACAACAAAGAAAGCAACTTGGGATCCTGAAAATTCTTTCAGAATCTGAAAGAAAATATTGCCGAGTTAAATAGCACAAAAGGCTGGGGTGTCTGCCTAAATCTGGTCTCTCAAACTTCCGGAAGCAGTCTTCAAGCCGGGCTGGGGACTGTTCTCTTGACCGTATCTATATTTTGTAACTGTACATATTTACATACTTGCACATATGGCAAGGGAGCGATGACGTGAGTCTCTCTTTGGAGAGCAAGAGTAAGAAGGAAATAAGCCAGGTGTCTGAGAAGAGCCTCTGTGCGAGCAGGGCGGATAGCCAGTGAGCGACGACGTTTCACACCTGCGAGAGTCTTGCTGGAAGCAACTGAAAAATCGAATTGGTGCATCCTCTTGAGAGGTGCACTCTCTTTTGCTTTCTACTCGCTTGCCTGCAGCTAGAGTGCACTTTTCGTTTGTTGTGCACCTGATTTCCTCCTTGATGGCTGGTCACGCCCGATTCTTCTAGACTAGCAGCTACTTCTCTGAGGGGTTTGTCGTTGGTTTGAGGTTGAAGGGGAAGAAATCTGTGAAAATTCTTTCTGGGTGAGTGGCAGGTTTTCAGCGATGAGAAAGGGGAGACTTAAAAGTCGAAAGGAGAAGCAGCCTTCCCTGGCCCCCACGCCTCCCGTTGCCCCCACTCCACACGCGTGACCTCCTTTGGAGACCCCAGGTGGCACATCAGTATTTGATCTGCTCCTCTCCTGCGCGCTGCGGGCGTTGGGCGGCGGGGCTGGCCACACATCACCCAGCTGCTGAAGCCCGCACCCAGCGCCACCGGCAGCTTCGGAAGGACCGTCTCCGTGCTCGCCCCCTCCTCGGGCTGCTTGTGTTTCGGGGGGCCTCCGGGGCACTGCACGCACCATGCTCGGCTGCCCGCGGCTGGCGCTGCTCTGCGCGCTGCCCTGGCTCCTGCGGGCAGCTGTCCCTAGCCACCGGGCAGAGCCCCTCGCGCAGTCGGCAGAGCTGCGCCGCGATCCGCGCGACCCCGCCAGAGGAGCCGATTTCGATCGCGTCTACAGCGGCGTGGTAAGCCTCAGCACCGAGAACATCTACTCCTTCAACCATACCAGCCATCCTGGCCAGGTAAGAAGCTCGCTCCCTCGGCTGACCCCAACTTCCGTGATCGCCGAGCCCCCCAGGTACCTCCGGCTGCGCTGGGAATTGACCTCAGGAGACTTCAGGGACTAGGAAACCCTCTCCCTGCCTCTCTCCTGTGAGGCAATCGCTGCCTTGCCCCAGCCTTGGCAGCAGCTTTGGGCACCTCTCCGCTTCACCTCGTGCCCACCACGGCCTTGTGGCTGCCATTTCTGGGCTTTGCAGAGGCGCGCGGACCCACATCCTCTGCGGATCCTGGCTCAAGCTGGGCCTTTCTCCGGGAAGTCTGGATGGCTATGTTCATGGGAGGAAGGAGGAGGGCGGGGGAGGACAAACCTGTTCCCAATCTCCTATGGACCCTTCTATTTTATGACACTCCAGGAAGCAGAGGTGCTCAGAAATGGAAAGCGCGTGAGAATGAGCAGGTCTCTGCTACCATTACCACACCGTGTGCTTGTTCTTTAAAAGCTGAGTCAAAGACTTTGTAACTGTGATCTCAGGTGATCTGCCCCGGCTCTGATTATAAATGGGGGGAGGAGGAGGAAGATGTGTGTGAAAGTTCTGTAGACAAGAGTTGTGTTGAGACAAGCAGGCAGGAGAATTATTTTAGCAACCATGCCTCTGGCTTATCTGATTATATAATGTAAGACAGTACATATAATTCACATTTCCCTTCAAATAAGATACCCGTAAGAGGAGTGGCTCTCCAGCGTACCTGCTTCTGTCTCTACTACGCATATAGATGTGTTTATGTTTATGCGGTCCTCACTATGCCCTGCACCTTGGGGCATTTCAGAACCACATGATGAGAATTCCTCTGTACCTTTCCATCCCTGACTCTCATTCAGGGTCACAGTTCAGAAACTAACTTAAGCATGTCGTTACTCTTTAGTGCCTTTCTGCTTTATGGACTGAGAAAGTGCCCCAAGTTCTCCCATCTCCTAGCTTGCATCAAATCCTATGGCATTGTCTCCACAGCAGCCGAGTGCTCGCCCTGCCAGACCTCCTGTAACCTAAGGTAGTGCCCTGTAACAGCGGAGTTGCTAGGTGCAAAGCCATTCCATCTCATACAGTGGAGAGGGGGCAGTTTTTATTTTCATATCCCACACAAGGGACTCCTGGCTGCCCAGTGTAGAATGCCCACTAGCTGGCCGACATATTGCACATAAGACAAATTCCTAGCCCTGAGGTTTCCTGGAACTAGATGAGAATCTTGAAAACCCCAGCGTCTCTGGGGTATATTGCCAGCTTCGTCCAAAAATCAAATAGCATAATGCAAAGAAAATCATCACAGGTATTGGTGTTTCTTACAGTTTTACTGAGAAACAAATGAGTCACTTTATTTTTCTTTCTTCCTTTCTTCCTTTCTTCCTTTCTTTTTTCTTTCTTTCTTCGTTCTTTCCTTTAAGATTTGTTTTTATTTTATCTGTATGTATAAATCCCTGTGTGTATGTATGTGTACCTCATGCTTGTGTGGTGCCCACAGAGGCCAGAAGAGGGCGCCAGACCCCCAGGAACTGGAGTTACAGGCACTTGTCAGCTGCTATCTGTGTGGTGGGAACCGAATGGAGATCTTCTGGAAGAGCCGTATGTGCTCTTAATAGCTGACCCCTCCCCAAGCTTGCTTGTTGAGACAGAGTTTCATTATTTAGACCAAGCCGGACTCAAACATATCATCCTCTTCCTCAGTGCTGAGATTACAGGCATGCACCATCCCTTCTGGCTGGTTTGTTTGTGGTTTGGTTTGGTTTGGTTTGGTTTGGTTTGGTTTGGTTTGGTTTGGTTTGGTTTGGTTTGGTTTTCCCCCTTAGAATTGTGAAAATTCCCCTACTGCACACAGGTCGCTCTGTCTGCGGGTGAGCTCTCCTGTTTGACTGTCCTTGGACACGAGATATGGAAGGGAAAGGGCACGGCCATGCTCTTCTCCATATTTCACAGCGTTATAAATGTTCTCTGCAAAACTAAATGAAAAAAGCCCAAAGAATAGTTAAGATGAAGTTAAATAAAGCAAATACATATTGGAAAAATACTTCCTGATGCCCTTTCTATCTTGCATGTATGTACACCAAAGTGCTCTTTGTTTATGAGCCGATGGTGATTAGTTTCAAGACCATCTATACATAGTGCAATAAAAAAAAGTCAACAACAGGGGGCTAGAGACATGGCTCAGCGGTTAAGAGCACTGACTGCTCTTCCAGAGGTCCCGAGTTCAATTCCCAGCAACCACATGGTAGCATACAACCATCTGTAATGGGGTCAGATGCCCTCTTCTGGTGTGTCTGAAGACAGTGACAGTGTACTCCTACAAATTAAAAAAAAAAAAAGTTAACACCAGTAAGCAATCCTTAGAATTTTTACTAATATGTTACTAGTCCTAGAAAACATGATAAACATGGACCTGACAGATTTCAAATATACATACATGTGTATGTGTCTTTCCAAGACAACATTTTAATAATTGTATTTTACCTTTTTAGTCTCAGAAATTAACCTCCCCTTCTCCCAGTCACATCACTGTTGATCTCTCCTGATGAGCATTCTCTCTGTCCATCTGACCAAGCTATTACTCTGGGTATGTTTTGCATCAGTAGCTCCTCCTTCTGACGCTATGAACATGATCTGCAGCAGAGTTTTACTGAAGGTTTGGAATAGCAGCAAGAGGGATCGCTGCACTGTAAGACAGGTGATGGGCTATACCAGAAATCTGCAACACTAACTAGTAATTACTAACTAGTAATCCCCCATGGAGGGCAGGAAGGATTTTGAGGGAGTTGCTCTTTCTCTCCAACTCTGGTCTGACCATCTTCTTGGCCACCCCCTCTCCCCACAGTCCCAAATGCTGGCCACCATCAAGTTTTGTTATTGTCCCACAGTGAACACTGTTTAACCTCCATTTCCAACTCCAAACTGATTGAGAAGCTAAATAGAGATATGCGGTGTCCAAAGGAGGAGATTGGTGAATGGTTTTCCCCAACCCGCGCAGGGTGTCGGTAAGGCAGGGCTTCCTCTAGTTTAGGGTCATTTCCCACTATCCTTCTTCAGTCAAGATTTTAATTTGGGGGAAAAAAAGTGTCCAGTTTTTGTTTTTGAAGTTTTTATCTTTTGTTCTTCTTTTCAATCCATTCTTGTTTGTTGTTTTCCCTTTATCTTGAAGAAGAAAGTTTGTATTAAATTTGGGCTTTGGGGGGCGGAGGGTGGCAAGAGCCTCTGCTCTGGGCCTTTCAATGGGCGACTGCCTCTCCTTTACCCCGTGCAATGGTTTCATCTGGCTATGCTAGCTGAACTCAGCACCAGGAAACAGCTGATATGCCTTGAGGCAGGGACTCCTGTAAATATAAAGTTGACATTTAAAAAAAAATCACAGAAAAGACGGACTGACCAGTTTAAAGACAAATAATGGAAACAGTGGTTAAAGGTTCAGGTTCAGCAAGGTAGGATTCATTTCATTTCCCTGGAGTGGAAGTTTCCCAAGGCTCCCTTGACTGGGAGTTAGCTACACTGAGCAAACAGATCCAAAACCACAGGGCTCAGTCAACCAACAGGAAATCACCTTGCAGGAAAGTGACTAGGGATATAGTGACTGGAACAAGGACACAAACACAAGTCTACACAAGGAAATGAGAACACCCTCGTGGAGACTGAGAGGAACTAATCTATGTTCCCACTGGGGCGGGTTCACCATCAGAAATCCTTACAGCAAACTGTAACTGGTTTGCTGTTTGCGGTCTTCTGTCGTCCTGCAGGCCGTCTTCTGCTGAGGGTTATGGAACAGAATTCCACATTGGCCATAACGTTTGAGAACTTTTTTTTTTTTTTTTTTTTAGATTTCGAGACAGGATTTCTCTATATAGCTCTGCTGGGACTCGCTTTGTAGACCAGGCTGGCCTCAAACTCAGAAATCTGCCTGCCTCTGCCTCCCAAGTGCTGGGACGCGCTGCCCTGGGAGATCCTTTTCAAAACATCCCCTTTGTTTAACGATGTTTAGATCCACATCTCCTTTTGTTTACTAAGCTGAAGCATGTATTTGTTATCTCTCCCCAGCCGCCCCCCCCCCCAAACTAGCATACAAGGTAATATGTTTCATTGCTTTGCTTTTCAAACTTTGTTTGGATTGATCCTTCCCCCTGCCTTTCCCCCATTTCCTGGCTGAACCACAACCCTGCTCTCAGACTCTTTAGTCCCCAGTCATCCTTTTCTACCTCCCTGTGTGTTTTCTGTTACCTGTTACCTCTCCATCCTTAACATCTCTTTTTCTCTTTTATGGTCACAGTCAAAAGTATAAGCCTTGGTGAGCAACCTTTTGGAGAGCTGTGAGAGGCTCCAGGAAAAAAAGGCATTGTTCACCATGGGACAGTCTTTTGATGATGTTCTGACATCTTTCTAGGTTCATGAACTATACCTATGGCCACATCCACACAAGTACACATATAAGAACTAAAATCTTGAAAAGATAATGCAACTTTTGTCTGAGTTACTTTACTTAATGTAATAGTTTCCAGCTCCACCCCTTTTTCTACAAGCTTTGTAATTTCATTTTTCCTTACCTTCAAATAAAATTTCATTGTGTATATGTATTACGTGTTCATTAGTGATTCTTCTGTTGATGAACATCTAGTCCCATTCCATTTCCTGACTGTGAGCAGAGCATCTGTGAGCACCGGTATGCAAGCATCTTTGCCTACAATATAGAGTTCTTTGGATATATACACGGAGCAGTATAATTGGGCCCTATGATAGTTCTATTTGTATTTTCTGAGCAGTCTCTGTTCTGATCTCCATAATGGCTGCCCAGTTTATAGTCACAGCAACAGCGAATAAGGGTTCCTCTCTCTCCTACTCTTTCTAGCTTTGTTACATTTCTGTTCTTAACAGTAATCATTCTGACTTGAGTGACATGGAATCTCAACCTCTGTTTAGAATTGCATTTCTCTGATATGGACGTTGAGTAACTTATTGGTCATTTTTGTTTCTTGGTTTTAGAAGTGTCT